TGTCATCAGTAGGGCCTGTTTAGAGGTAAGTTGAATATCTGCCTTAACTGAACACCTCTGTATGTTCTACCTTCCCTTCTACAACTTGTCCCAGTTTTTTTGTCCCAGAGAGAATAACCTGAGCCAAAGCAATGACTCAGGTCACACCTGCCTTTACTTTAACTAACCTACTATGAGCCATTTTGAGTTGACTTTTGGATGTCCTAAGAAATTTTTCATTTGCTGTGAGGCTTGGGTTTTTTGAATGTGGGTATTGAGTTGGTTCAGTATATTTATTGAAGGTACAATCTTTTGTCTATTAATGGATTTTGCATCTTTGCCAGAAATCAATTGTCTGTTATGTGTGTATCTATTTTCAGATTTCATGTTGCTGTCTTGGTGGTTTGTCTGTCTTGATATCAGTGATGTTTTTCAGGATTGGGGTAACTTTGTGGTGAGTTATGGGACTGAGGAGGATTGGGGCTCTAATTTTGTCTCTTTATCAAAGTTGTTTAGACTATTCTAAGTCTTTTGTATTTGTACACAAATGTAAAAATCAAAATGTTAATTTTTATGAAAAATGATATAGGTATTTTGATAAAGATTTATGTTTTCTAATCTTTATTATTTTCTTCTATTTATTTTTGGTTTTATTCTGCCTTTTATTTCTAATTTCTTAAGGAAAGATATGAGGATATTTCATACCTTTATTCTTTTCTCATAAAGGCACTATAAATAAATAAAAGTAAAATATAAATAGAAAGTCTTCTAACCAGCTTGTAAAATCAAAGTGTGGCAATGATACTTCTGGCTATTTTCAGCAAGGTAAATGCTCAGAATTAGGAACAGAATTGATTTGAGAAATTTAGTGTTTCACCATAAAGGTTGCAGTGTTGGGCTGTGAAGAGAATGGTTGCAAAAAGCTTAACAATAATCTGATTAGTTTGCAATAGAACAATAGGAAAAGATGACTGAAGATATTTTAGGATATGTAACTCAAAATCAAGGATGCCAAAGTGTAAAGATAAATTTTTCAAAGACTAGTTTGAGAATAGAGTCACAGGACCCTATGGCTGAGAAAGGCCATATAGGGAATTGTTCTCCTGGGATTTGTTCATAGTTCTTACCCACTAGGGCAGTTGGGTCCTCTGCAACCATGATCAAAGCAGCCTAGACTACTGATCGAGATGGTGAGAGACTTTGGCATCATGACATGGTTCTGGTTATATGGACATGCAAAATGCAAGTGTGTGGGGTTAGGGAAACTTCCTCCTGTATTTCAGAGGAAGACCTTGGAAATCTGGTCCTATGCCCTTGAGGGTATAATTGGTGAAACTTTGAATGCTAACTTGGAAGTTCAGTAGAGACTCCAAACCTGAAAATACTAGGAATATGGAACATAAACTATGAAAGTCAAACAAGTTGAGCAGAACCAACACATGTGAAAGGTTATGAGGTCTGCAAATAGTGATTCCAAGGGATTCAGGCCACACAAGCCTTTTGAATTTGATGTCTTGTCACAACTCGCTCTAGGTGCTAAATATGTAATTATAGGATTTATTGATTTCCCTTCTGGGTTTTGATCTTGGTTTTGTTTGATTTCTTACTACTGGTTTGTGATTTCCTTCTATAAATGAGTATTTATCTTGTGCCAGTGTATGTTGGCATTACTTAACTTTATGATTTTTAAAGGTTCTCACAGGTAAGATTTTGCCTTGAATCTAGTTAGAATTTAGATTTGGCTTCAAACGTGCTGGTATTGTTAAAACTTTGGCAAAACTTACAGATGGACTAAATTAATTTTGTATAATAAGGTGGACATAAGTCATTTGGGATCCAGGAGTGACATGCTATGATTTAGATCCAGAATGTCTCTCCAAATACGTATACGTTGAATTAGAGGCCATGTGTGTTATGCTCTTGAAGAAAATTGATCTTCCTTTTGCCCATAATCTGAAAGCTTGCCGCAGAACCACATTATCAGGAGTACGAAAATTAGTCTTCTTGAGGAAATTTCAATGTATCCCAATGTTCAAAGTGTGGAACTGGTACTTTTGGATGGTTTCAGAAATAGGAATAAACTAATTTGAAAGGTTTGATGTTTCATGAGAAAAGTAGTGCTATTTTGGTTGAGGCTGTGACTCTGAGTATTGCAGTGGTTCTTTTTATGTACATTATATCACTTCTTCATCTCTAAAACAAATATAATTTTTAAAATAAAGTTTATTGGTACATTTTAGATATTTTATATATACAGAATGTTGTACTCTAAGAAAATAGCTTAGTTATATGTGTATTATAGCAAACCTGTATAGGGGCTTACTAAATGTGTTTGTTTTATCCTTTTTCCCTAACTGATATGTTAAGTGACCTAATTGATATGTTGAGCAACACTCTCCCCTGTAAAAAATTGCAAGAATCTCACCTAATTGATATGTTAACCATTGTTGCCCTCTACAAACTACAGAAGCTGTGCTAAAACAAGCTAACAAGGGTTGTTAATCACTGCTAGGTGCCTCTATTCTCCGCTAAAAAGCTAAGGAAAACTAGAATGGCAATTAATTTACATTTGTTTAAAGTAACCTGCTTGTGTGCAGAGAGATTTGCGTGTGAGTTTAACCCTTTACCCTGACCTTGACACATTACCGCCGTTTTCTGTTCTATATGGCGCCTTATTGCCTCCCTCTCCCCTCACCTATCTATCTAGGCCATAAAAAATTTGGGTTTCTGGTGACCTCCCCCCGACCCGGTGATGATCTGTCGTAAAATGAGCCTGCCCCAATTTTAAGAACTGCTTAGCTTAAAGAAATTACTGGGTAATACTATGGCCCAAACCCCAATCGGTGCTTTCCTTTTGTTCTGTATGTATCAAATGAGTTAGATATCAGGTCTTTATAAAACTTAAGTTCCAGCGTCTCATAACTCGTGACCCCTTCCCACTCACTAGCGAAGACAAGCTGTCCTGAGATAATTAACTCTCCACTTTCTTCTCCAAATATTGCTGCAGACGTGCCACTCTGAGATAATGTCAGTCTGCAGGATGGGAGTAATTTAAAAAAACACCAGGAACTCCCTAGATTGTCAGAGCTAAGTGGACAGCAATACAGTTTCCAGACTCGGGTCAACAAGTTTGATGGCTCTGCAGGTTTCTTTGTTTCTCTCCCCCCGCCCTTTCCTCCAGCCCCTTTTTAAAGTCCTCCCTTCAGCTTCTGGGGGACAGTCTCCAAATTGGTTCCCGGAGACTGGTCGCCAGGCCTGGAAATAAAGCCTTTGCCACTAAATTTTCGGTCTCTTGCCTCCTTGGATTTTATACTGGGGCCCAAGTTATAACACAGAATGATTAAATTTATCAGAGAATTTATACCTATATATGATCATTTCGGTTTACATCCATTTTTTGATTGTAAAAGTTTTATGTTTCCATTAAGTCAACTGTATGATATTGCACTGAGACAGAAAAAGAAGACATCCATGCTACTACCAAGAGCAACTACAAATTTCTTGTTCGGTGTTGTCCTTCAGCTGTTTTCTATGTATAGATTTTTGTTATATATATATATATATATATATATATATATATTATATGTTTTCATACATAAGTAATTAAAATTTATATGACACCTTGTGGTGTTGGGAAATTAACCAATTAACACATGATCCAAATCTTTTAGCCCAAGTTGAGAAAGTTCAGCTGCCTTCTCATTTTTAAATTTATAATTCTAAAATTTCATATTCAAATTAGTACCCTTTTGCTTGGTTGTTTTAATTTGCTTTTTTTTTTTTTTTTCTTTATTTCATTTACCCTGTACCCATGCATCGGGAGAAAGGGAGAGAGATAAAGATAGAGGAGAGAGAGAGAGAGAATGAGATTCCCTCTTGAATCTTCCCTCACAGCTTTCTGTCACCAAAAAAAGCATTTAAGAGCTGACTCTGAAATAGTTGCCATAACTGTCCCAAACCTTGTTTTGGTCCAAGCAGAAGTTTATATTTGATATCCCATGGGAAAATTATTGAAATTCCAAGTTAATTACAGACTACCTCTTCCAGTGTAACTCACAGTGAGAATAAGACACTAAGACATATTTATAATTATGTGAGCCAAGAGAGTCCTAAGTCCAACCAAGACAGTGGATTGCCTTAACCCAGAGCCTAACCCTGATTTTATTAATTCATGAAGAAGGGAGTGGCTTGAGAATGAGTGACTGTGAGAAAGGCTGAAAATACACGAGCTGGGCTAGGTAGGAGTCCTGAAGCACCTCTGAAATATGCATAGGGAAAGATATTCAGAAATGTTAATTCACATAACACATCTGAGATAGCATCTAATGTTTTGGGGTCTGTGTTTCAACTCTGATGTGTAAACTTTTCTGCTCTGGGAACTCACAGCCTCTTATTTCAAGGCTCAATCCAGGTGTACATTCCTGCAACCATGGCTCTTCACCCTGTCCAGGTTCAGCCAAAATTGAGATAACTGCTCTTTATTTAAGGAGAAGCATTCAGGTGGTCCTCCACAGCTTACAATGATGTATGACAAAAATCTATTCCTATGTCAGTCTGTATGAGTGGATAAATGGACAGAAATGTAGCTCCATGAATAATTAGAGGCAAATGTTAAAGTTCTTTAAAAGTATACAGTAGCCTCTTTTCAATGTTCTAAACTACCATGCATCATGTCAATTTCCATTTCTAGGCTTTTTTGGCTGAAAGCTTCGTGTATTGGGTGAACAATTAAAGAGCATTACCAATGTCAATTTAAATAAGTAACTGGTTGTTTGAAGGATTTTTGTTTGATGTGGCAAAGCAGAAAAATCTCTGTGCAGAGGCTTGTTTCTGAGGGCAGATTTTGAGCTCTGATTTTGAGCTGTTTTCTTGAACCCACACAGACACTTTGTAGTTTCCTGAGCTTCAGAATAGAGCAGGGAAGTGCATGCTGGCATGTTTTTTCCTGTCTACCCCCCAAGCCCTGCCCCAAGCCCTGTAGAATCAGTTTCTTATCTTATTTGCCTTGGGGCACAATCCTCTAATGTCTCTGCAGCTGGTTATCAGGAAAGGACTATTTGCCCTCCCACTGGGATATCTGTGAGGCTTCTGTGAGTTCTCAGAGTTCAGCTGCTGGGCCAGGGCAGATTTCAAACCCTTGTGGGCAGATAAGGTCTTCATCAGCCAGAGATGTTGAGGGAGACACCAATAACTATGCATTCGGAAAAGCCAGGAGGGCAAAAATAATCTGTTTGTCTCTAGGTTCATCGGGTGTCCTTAACATCCACGGGAGGGTTTTTGTCCCTGTTCAATGGGCAGCTAAGCTCCCGCACTCCTCTACTCTTATGGCAAAGGTGTCCTCACTTGGCCAACACAGATAAGCTGTCATCTGTACCCTACTGGATCCGGAAGTCCAGCGCGCCCTGCACAGCTCGTGCCCTGCTGCTCACCTTGCATCCATCTACCAATCTCTGGTCCTTCAGCCCCTCCTCTGCCTGGCTGACCCAGGTTCACCCTGTGGTGAGTGCTGGCCCCTGAAGGGGCATTTGAGCCCTCTGGGGAAGGGAAGGGGCTGTAGGCCGGTTCCTGTGTCTACTCAGAGGAGCAGGAGGGCAAGAGGGGACCCACAACCCTGGCTAAGACTGGGAGGAGAGAGGAGGCAGCCCTCTCCAGGCACTCAGGGAGGTCTGCGGGTTGCACAACTGGAGCAGCCAAGTCAGACCCCCCCACTCCCGGAACCATAGTCGCAGATATGTAAGAGACTGAGGCCTTGTGATAGCTCTGACCCCGGAATAAAACACAAGGAACCAAGAAATTAAAATTTGGGGAGCAAAGGCTTTATTTTGGGCCAGGCCTGGTGACACAGCCTCCAGGAGCCAATATGGAGACTGTGGGCTTTACAGCTACAAAGGTTGCCATTTAAAAGCCAAAAACCCCAGGAATGTTGCCAACTTTGACTCAGTTTGATAACTTCCTTGTAGTTAAACATTTCTTAAGGACAGCACATTGTATTGCAGATAGGCTGAAGGGTGTGGGGGAGGGGGCGGAATTACAAGAAACTGAAACTTAAAGCTTTTATGGGAAAGGGAGACTTAACCTAAGAATGGGGAGAGGAGGGAGATTTACAAGGAGCTGAAACTTAAGTCTTTACTGGAGATAGAATTTTAATCTCTATTGAAATGACGCATACAGAAAAGGAAGGGGGCACATTGGTTAGAACTAGGTTACAACAGCCTGAGGGTTCACTGAACCGGACAGTTTAGGGCAACTTGGAAAGGATAGCACAAAAGACTCCAGTACAGCACAGCTGCTTCCTGTCATTAGGTGGAAGCTGCCCTTTAGGTACTGTTTAAAAGATTCCATGGCTCCTCTCAACTTTAAACAATTTTTTTTTTTAAATCAGTGAGTGTTGAGCTCTGCCTCTGAGCCCTGGTGTTCTGAGATCTGAGCCCTTGGGGATCCAGCCAGTGAATAAATCTGGGCCAAATGTGTGGAGGGAAAGGTCCCTGTGTTTTGTGTGTACGCTTTGTTAGAAAATAACATGGTGCTCAATACAGATGAATGAGTCTGTCTCCCTTCAGGGATTCCTTTGAAAATGACTATGAAATAGATACTGACTATTCTGTGTGTGGGGGGTGGGGCCAGCTGGAAGTGTAACCCTCTTGCTTTCCTGCAAATGTGTAAAGATAAAAATAGTTGACATAGGATGAGTGGAAACTTACTCAGCAGAAAGCTACCACGTTGAAGGATCAATTTAGTAACAATAGTATTTTGAAGGAATTGACTAATCAGTTATGTTTTTTTATCACAGAACATGAAGTTTGGTTGTTTTACTGCAGTTACTGATTCCCTCTGTATATTTTGTGGATTACTGAGTTTTAATAATTAATTATAAAAATAAATCAGCTTATTATAATTCTAATTACAGTAATATTTAAAAGTTTGAACAAAGCAAAAAGATCAACATATTAGAATGTAAATCTATCAGTATTTTGCATGTTTTGTTTTCTAGAATAATGGTAGAAATGGAAAACTCTACTTTTTTCATAAAAACATATACATTCATAGCAAAAGCAAATATTAGGTATCTTTATTCTAGGCCCTGGAAGTTATTCAAATATTCCTTTTGAACATGTTATTAACACATGCATGCAAAATCTATTTCTGTACTTAATGTCATTAAGTAACTGTGTTATGTATGTGAAGCATTTGAGGTGATCATAAGCATGATAAGTGCATGATAAAGTACAATGTGGAGTGTAAAGGTGGTTATACCTGTATGGGCGTAGGTCAGCCCTTCCTGTGATGAAAGCACCTCTATAGTCAGTCTGCCACTAGGTCACAGGTTGAGCAGGCTGGAAATTGTACTATAACAGGGACTCAGTGTTGGTTTCTGCTAATGGCATCTTAGGCATTCAGCAGTTGCTGTAGCCACATCAGCCATAGTGAGAGGAAGTCCATGTTGCTGAGCCCATCCATAACCTTTATCCCTGTCACTCTGGGCACTTCATTCATGAACCCTTTGGGTAATGAGAAGGTTTGCTGAAGAAAAGTGTTGACTGCTATTCACAGAATGGTTCATTTTATCCAGTTAATTATTGAAGTCCTTTTATGCTGAGTTCAACTTTTGATGAGTATTTACATGACACAAATATCTTTATATCATTCATTCATATGGAGAGGCCTATACTTTTAACTTTTCCCCAAATATCTCTGTCATCAGTTTTCAGTGATGTTCTTCTCCAAGTCCTTCACCATTTAGCCAGACAACTGATGACAGCTCATCAATCAGTATGTAGCTGCACATTGGTCTGTTTTTTCTTCCAGGCAAAGTGTATGACCAGGTGTTCTGCCTACTGTGAAGATTTCTCTTCACCACTGTCCTTCATGGATGTCCCGAAAGAAGCTGTAATGCTATAGCTGTGCACTCAGTGTTGCTGCATGATGTGCAAAAGCATGTGTAAAGCAGGCCCTACTCTTCTCTTCCTCAGTCAGCTGACTATATGGAACATGGCGTGAAACCACAGATTCATACAGGGAAACATAACAGGAGTAAGATCCATGGGCCTCCAGAAAACTGCTTCTTGGAAAACCTACTTGTGACTTAGACCTGCTCAGGCTCAATCACATGTGAATATATCACTTTCATTTAACCATGGCCTATTGCTGTGTATATCCCAAAATATGAATCGGTAAAACAGATACTCATCTCATGATTGGCAGCTCATGTTTCATGATAAACTTGTGTCTTGTGGTCCAGAGTTCAGTTTCCCTTAAGGCCCAGACCCTGGCAGACCAGGAATTGAGTTTCAAAAGGGAGGGTACTTGTCTGTTGATGAATAGGGCCTTGCTCCAAAATTCTAATGATCTTACTGCAATTCACTTAAGGAGGTTTTGGAAAAGACTCCAAATGGCATCCCTATCTGCTACTGAAACCTCAGTAATCTTGCATCTGCTGGATGGTCTTGCTCCAGTGGTGTAGTAGCCTGCATCACTGGCTAGATCTATTGTAGAGCCTTCCTCTGGGGGCCACTCAAATAGTAGCTTTACTAGTCACTCCTTAAGGGGCTGGGGTAAAACAGCTAGATGTGGGGTGGGTTGACACCAAAATTCATATAGTACTATTAGACTTTTATGATTTTGGGGGAGCCAGATGCAACAACTTATACTTTATCTTAGACAGAATGTCTCTTGTGCTTGAAACCACTGGCCTCCTAAAAATTTCACTTAGTAGAGGGATCTTGAATTTTCATTGGATTTATTTTCCATCCTTTGGCACACAGATGCTTTCTTAAAAAGTTAAAGTGGTTGTTAACACCTACTCACTTGGTCCAATTAGTATATATCAAATATATGATGGATCATTTTGATATTCTGTGAGAGAGAAAGATCCCTTGACCTAAGTCATAGCACAGGGCTGAGGAATTAATATAACCCTGATAAAGGACAGTGAATGTGCACTGCTAACCTTGGCAACTGAAAGCAAATTATTTTTGGTGAGCCTCACATGTACCATAAAATATATTTTAATATTGATCAACCCATTGTCACTTATTGTCCTGTTTTTTTTTTTTTTGAATTCTGTGTATTATAAGACCTACAAGTACTTGGAAATTAAACAATGTGAGTTCTGCATGGCATATTTACTTACAAGATGGGAGATTACAAGACAGTTCTGTCCACATTGATTTACCCATGGATACCAGCTCCACCTGAGAGTGCTTTAAACCTTATTGCATTTCTTTTTTTTTTTAAAGAGAATAAAATAATTAAATAAAGAGAATAAAACCTAACAAACCAGAACAGAATAAGGTCAATCACAGCAAAACAATCAAAGCTGTATAGTAGTTTAAAACGTGATCATGGGAAATCAATAATGGCTACCATGCCTCATAATAGCTGCCCATACCGTCAGACATAATAAAATCAAACAAAACAGAGAAAAACAATAAAAAAACAATGAAAATGATACCAGGCTGCAATATAAGATAATAGGAAATCAACAATGGCTATCAAAATGTATCTTGTTATCTTCAAGACAGCTGCCCATGCCATGAGACTTATTAAAATCAAACAAAAAACCCCAGAGTAAAACCTAATAAAACAAATGAAAATGATAGAGGACTTCAAAACAAGGTAATTGGAAACTAACAGTGGATATCACCTTCCCTTTTTAGACATTTCCTCCAATTCACATTCACAGTATCTATTGTACATTCTGGATCACACTAACTCCTTTAGTTTTTTATAGGAGGGAGGAAACAAGATGTTCTGCCACATGAGTCCACACCATTTTACCCATGAGCATTATCTCAAGTTGCATCCATTTATCTCCAAGAGCCTCCAGATTATCCTTATTTATAGCTGAGTAGCTTTTCATTGTATAAGAATGCCATAACTTCCTTATCCATTCTGCAGTTGAAGGGCATGCTGCCCTGCTTTTTTCTAGTTCCCTGTTGTACAGCACATTGTTTTCTCTCTTGACTTTCAGTCTATGAGTTTTTTTTTCAAGTTAAATGTGTTTCTTGTATACAATGTATTAATGGATCTTGTTTCTTTATCCACTTTGCCTGTATTTATTTATTTATTTATTTTATTTATTTATTTTGGTTGAGGCCATATACATTAATGGTTATGACCAACATGTACTTGGCTTATGTCTGCCATGCTATTTTCCTGGTATTGGCTCCTCACTTTTCCCCTCTGTTCAGTCGTCTGCCCTGCTTAGTGATTTCTTTCTGAAGTTGTTCCTGGAAGCATGGTCATCTTTATCTGTGTCTAGAATATCCATCAGTACTGTTTGTAGGGTTGGTTTGGTGGTCATGAATTCCTTCAGTTGTTCTTTGTCATGAAAGTATCTTATTTCTCCATTAATTTTGAAAGATAATTTTGCAGGGTACATCAGTGTGGTTTGGAACTTGTTTACTTCAGGATTTGAAACACTTCAATCGAAGCTCTTCTTGACTTGATGATTTGTATTGAGAAGTGTGTCATGATTCTGATGGGTTTCCCTTTATAGG